AAAAGTGTGGAAGCTACACTGTACACAGCTATAATGATGAATGAGCTCATTCATGCACGAGTTCATTTCCTGTATTGAGGAGAAATTAATTATTTTTATATTTAGCTTGTGTATTATCTGTATAAGTAACTATGCCTCTTGTTGTATTGATTAGCTCCTTTCTAGATTTCATGTGTTGATTTCAGGTGAAATTGGAAGCGACAAAGCTCAAACTGTCCCAACAAATAAAGCCACTGTAAAATGCTAACCTAAAATCGAATATAACATAACAGCTATATTGAGCAGTAGGCTCATGTTCTGGTAAACTTTTTTCAACCACAGGAGTCGACCCCTGCTGGTTATTAAAAATAATGTATTAATTATCCAGAGGCTTGTACATACAGTCTATGGTTTTTAGGAGCACATGTACCTTTCACCACAGTCGGAGGAAGACTCTCCACTCGGATGTTCGTTGCTGCCTCCAGAGGCCGAGCGGTCAGTCCATGCTTCTTCATCTTTGTGCTGGTCTGACTTACAGAGAGGAATCTCTCCACATCTGCAAAATAATCCAGATTAATCCTTTCAGACTGAAACAGGGTGAGAGAGAAATGCTGGGCTACAACATATTATCTAGAAATGTTCTTATGAATGAATGAAGGCTTCCTCTTTATTTTTTAAATGTAGAGTCAATATAGATTTATTTTCTATATTTAATAACCCTGCTTTATTGGAGACAGATCTGCTGTCATTTTATGCTGTTTGTGTTCTTTCTAATGGACCCTGTTTCAAATTTGAATCAAGGATTAGGAGAGTTAATATTTTCACTAGTTGTGGTCAAAGGAAACAATATTCATTCAGGTTCTTGATTATGCTCAATGCTGTGATCTTAATTTGTATGTAGACGACATTATGTTGTATGTAAAGCAACAAAGATGTTGGGATCAGTGGCAGCAAACAGAATGGTGATAAAGGAGAGCAGTGATAGGTTCCTCTGCTCAAAGAGTCTGTAGAGGTATTTGGATCTTTTCATTCTTTTACTTTACTGATACCAATTTATTTATGATTACTGATATCAAAGTAAAAATTGTTTAACATGTGCTTCACTTGTTTGTGTATGAGGTAAAGTCAAGCAGGTTATCCTCACTGCAGGGCCGCTGAGCGTGACCGAGCTCAGGCCCCGTCTGATCCTAAAGACCTCGTAGTGCCATATGACCCCAACAGATC